TGATAGTAATATTGTTTATTAATCATAAGTTTTATTTAAGTTATTTGGAACAGTGTATAGTGTATCCTTTTAAATATGCAAAACTATCAAGAGAAATTAAATTTTTCATCAAATTGATTTTTTTAAATTTATTTTTTTGATTCTTGTTACATTTCCACAACTGTTAAAAGATCCCAGATAAAGATTTCTTTTTCTTCTGTCCTTTGCTCAGTATCATTATCAAAGATTATATTTTAACTGAAAATAAAAATAAATAAATTAAGGAAGGTTTTGTTGCTTGTTATTGCTATGCCTGTTTCTTATTTGTAGACTTGGTAAATTCTATTTTAATCTCCAAAATATATAACAAGATACTTAGAAAAGAGAAGATTTTTTTTACATATTAACATTTTGCATAGGTATAAAAAATATCTGGTAATATGCATCCTGTTTTGATGTCATCACAAATGAAGGCAGTCTCTTTATGATAAAAACAATAGAATTTCATTTGAATTTCACACTGCATAACTGTTTTATTAAAATGGTAAAATAGTTGTTCTGTCTGAAGCCCTGAATAGATCAAAACATCCTAACTGGATATTGTCATATCCAATTAGAATACCTTATAGTAAATAATAGTCTATTATTTAAATTGTAATTTATTTGATAATATTGAATAAGCCACAAAATAGTGTTTGATTGTCAAAATCAGTTAATTCTTGTTACCCTTTTATTTCTTATATCATAAAAATAAAACCATTTTCAAAAGACAACTGGAAAAAGTTTCAATTTATATTTGTGAAATGACACATAATCTGTCTCAAAATTTATAAATTTGCATTTGTTTTTCTTATTTATCCTGACAAATTTAAGTAAAGATTTAACTAACCTAAAATGAATACTTTTCTATAAAAATGTATTTTCTGATATAGTTTACTCTTGATGAAAATGATGTAGGTAACATGTTTCTTTCTTATCTTTGACTCAACAAATCCTTCTCTCAGCATCTTTGATATGATGAAAATGTTTCATAGAGAAGTACTCTGTTCCAACTGTGGATAGAATTGTTATATTTTTAATTACTAACAATCTAACAAGGCAGATTCCAGGTGGATACAAAAATAAAGTACAGTTTAGCAATATACACTGTAAATTGAACAATTGATGTCATAATGTTAGATACACTGTGAGACTTGTTTAGCATTAAATATATACTTACATAGTAAATGAAACCTTCACTTGGGTGCCATTTTACTAGTTTCCACTTTATAACTTTCATTGTCATGAAAGTGATCAGTTTCTCAAAGAAATAATCATTTTCCTAAAGAGCAAAACAAACTACATTGCTATAAATTGTTTTTGTAGAAAGAAAATCATTTAGCTTAACTAAATTTGTCCATTTTTCTTATTAAAAAATATAAATCTAAAATATTTAATTGGATTAATGTTGCAATTGTACATTTTTTTTTAAATGACTTTATTTCAGTCAGTAATATCTAATCCTGTTTTGGTGGTGTAATTATTTACTGTGCAAGACTTTACACCATAGAAACTACTTTTCTAAGTTCAAACTCGAAAGGGTTTATGTTTATTGCATGAAATGTGATTATTTAAAAAGAGAGAAAAAGTGTTAAAGTTGAGTAGAAGGATCTGCTGAAGCATACTGATTTTTCTTTTAAAAAAAAAATTACTTCTAATTTCTATTTTTGAAGAATTGTATCTTTTAATGGTTTTTAACTATTTTGTTTTAATTTGCAAGGTTTTGCTTACAGAAATTAAATTATTTTAATTAATCTTTTCTTTTTTTTGACTGATCTCCATTTATTTTAATTTAATCTTTTTATTGGCTGATTTCTATCCTGTCTTCTGAATTGCTTGTTTGTCCATTTGATGCTTTTTATCATTTCTTTTTTTTATTTATGAAATTGAGATATCAGTTTTGGATTTCTTAAAAAAACAATATATAAAGACTGTGTCAATTAAACTCTATTTTTTGTATTGTATTATTTAAGCATGAAAAAAATTAAAAACGTATTTCTTAAAAATAATAAATATTTTAAAACTATATACTGAAATGTTTTATCTCCAAAATGTAAAGAATGTTTTCCAGATTTTTTTATTTCTTACTTTTCAAACAACTGAATTCCTTTTTGTTATTTATATTGCTTCCACATTGTTGCTTAATAGAGACAAAGTATGGATTTCTCTGTTTACAAAGAATAGTCTACATGTAAATCATGATAACTCTTCATCTTAGAAATTCATATAGAAACAAAGAAAAAAATTGAGAACATTTCCATGTATAAATCATAGACAAGGCATCATAGAATAACTTATATTACAAATGTTGCTGTGAACATATAGAATTTTCAGTTTGCTACTGTTTTCTGCTTCTCACTACTAGAAAAAAAGCTTCTCTCTTTTCTTACACGTAAAGAAGGCTGGAACAGCTGGAAAACAAATAACAAAAAGAATGAGTTCAGTTGGCTTAAGAAAAAAAAAACTCTTGGAAAGATGATGAATTTTCTCAAAATTGTAGAATATTTTTCTATTGACATATAAAAATACTTTTTAAAATCTTATTGTAGGTATTGCAGCCATTTCTGTTTTCTTATTTAATTTTTTTAATATAAAGGACATTATAGATACATGTGTGTTGTAATTTTTAGACAAGGCTGCATAAAATCCAAAGGAGCATCTATCATTTTTATCTTTTAAAATGGTCAATTATTTCCAATTTTTTTCCTGAAGTGCTTCTCAGTAATTTTACAAATATATACAAAAATATACATGGGAATAGCTAACAAAATATAGATAATGATTCTAATTTTGCATTTGTCAATATAAAAAGTAAAATTCAATATTCTATAGGTTTTTCTTCATTGCAGTTTGATATGCAGCTTAATTGACTCTTTAAAATTTAATATGTCAATTTAATATTTAGCATTGATCTCTAGTAATTATTATTTAGAGGATTTTTAAATGAAAATTCATGAAATTATTTTTGGAATGTTGATTCATTATGCATTGAAAATCATTCATTGTTACATTTGTTAAGTTATTGTTATATTCTGTGCTAATAGGAATATGTACTTGAAAAACAAGGTGGATAAAATAAATAAAGGTTTATTGTAAAAAAACAGCACAATAAAAATAAAGGTAACAGTTATACACAAGGTCATCGCAAGTCAATCCAGTAGCGAGTGCTACTGTTGGAAAGTCAGTAATTCTCGCGTAAGTCTGGGTCATACTCAACAGATCCCAACTAGTCTCTGTAGTCTGTTGACTTACAGATACGTATAGGCAGTTACTACCTATAGTGTAGACACTCATGGAGGTGACAGGCTATTCCATTACATCAGTTATAAAGTCCTTTGAAGTATTCTAACAACTTAGAATTATGACACTACTACTACTACTACTATTATTATAATATTTTAATATTTTTAATAAACTGCAGATTTTATTTTGATGGTATCATAAACTGAATCACTTTATTGTTCTTATTCTAAATTATTTTATCTGAAAAAATATGATTGGTATTTGTTTTGTGCATAGCAACATACAATTTTTAAGCTAGGTTACATGCATAAATACATCAATGGGTCCATAACCTAATGATAAAATAAAGAATTTATTTTTCACAATAAGTATGTTTCAACATAATCCCCTTTCTTGTCAATGTGTGGATATACACTAGGGCCCTCTCCCAGTCTTTCACCACTGGATAAATCATCCCACATTGTTTTGTTTCTAGTTTACTTCAGTGTGAACAAAAACTAGGAATGGCCTGATGAAATGAAAGGTGGAATAATACCACAACAAAAAATGATTCCTATTTCCAATATGCTTGGTTATTTATTCATGGATTCACTTGACAGTCGGTGGATAGGGAGGCGGCATTTGGGGCACCTTCACTGCTACTTCTATCTTCTCTTACAGCAGACTAACAGATCAAATCTTTCTTTCAGCTGACAAGAAATCAAACTCTATATATCTCTTGCTTTAACCATTTCACTCCCTTCTCTTTGACTGCCAACTCTCACCTACCATCCCTCTGCCTATCTCTACTTTGACATGTAGCTCACAACTCCTTAATGATCAACTTGGTATTGACCTTTCTGTGATTCTGCTTATTTAAGCCTACAATTGGAATTTCTTAACTTCTGGTTAAGTGGCACTTGATCCAAAAAGTTTTCATTTATTTACTGCACTTTCCTTCAGCGAGAAGGTGGCTGCTTTGAAGCCCTCATTACTAAAGTTCACTGTCTATGCAGTCATAAACTAGCCCAAATAAATTTGTTCACAGTCATCTACTTGGTCGGTGTTCTAAGCCAATTATGTGTAAACCCATTGTGTCACAAATGCATGTGATCCAATACTTATCTATAGATCAAACAGTGCAAATTTCATCTGACAACTACATTATTGATCCACCCTCATAAAATATTACAAAATGCATGATCTAACAACTTTTATGCTTTAATTACCCCACCAAGTGTAATAATGTTTAAAATGAGGTATCTGTAAAGACATGTACTTGTTTATTGCCTACGATTTATAATGTGACAACATATTTTATCTTTAAATATCAAGTACAGAAAAGTGTATAAAAGACATTTCCAATGTTTTATCTGTAAACACTAGATTATCTTATAAAAGCTGTTGTTCTTTTGTTGTCCTGTTTGTTGGTTTTCTGTTATGCTAAATAGATTTATAAAATTAAAGGAGATATGCTTTGATTTGTTTTTTATGGCTTATTAATCCATTACAGGCAATTTAAATTCTGAAAATATTTTTAGATTGTAAGAATTTTTTTTATTTATATGTATATTTTTTTTTTTTTGATTATAATGATTTAGTGATACAAGTCTTACTAATTAACCAATAGGTGGGTGGGAGAGACGGATTTGTACCTTTTCCAAAGGTGTTTGCACGTTAGTAAATATAATGGAATTGGAACTCGGATCTCTGATTAACAATTCTGAGCCATTATTTATTACACTACCTGCACATCCAAGCTTACAGCACCTGTTATTCCCAAGTGATTACCCATCTAGGTACTGACTAAGCTCAACATTGCTTAAATTTGGTGATCATATGGGAACTGGTGTTTCAATGTGACATGGCCGTAAACCAAAAGATCTACTTCGATTTTGAACATCTGAACTGAAGGTAGGCAGGTAATTGCTATTTGAATCTAAGTTTATTTTTTAAATGTTTGTAATTTCTTTGTTTTATTTTTCAAATAATATTGATCAAGAAAGAAAATGTTAATTTTTTTTGTTATTTAAATTTAATAATTTAAATAAACAAAAACAAACTTAATATTTTCTTTGAATTTTTATTACATTTTACCAAGGCAATATTCATTTTAATATTTAAAATGTAACACTTTTATTTTTTTTTTCAATTAATATTTAATATCATTAATGAGATATTAGATTCATATAAGAAAACTAAAATAGACTTCTTTTATAGATATGCATAGGATAGTCAAGAGATTTTTTTTACTGTTTACACTGATTTTTAACAAAGAGCTTTTTCCTATTTTTTAAAATAATATTTTGTTTTAAGGAACTATCATTTCATTAATGTTTTTTTTCTCAACAAAACATAATTTTTTTAAATTATATTTTAAGTTGAATTAATTGGTTAGTTGAATTAATCACATATTTTGTTTGTTTTTAAATAATATTGGTATATTAAACTAGAAACTACAGAATTCTTATGAGCATTGAAAATTTGAATGAAAGATATTGGTGAAAGAGAGAAGCAAAAAGTTTGAGAAAGAGAGATTAACAATCAGCAATCAGTCATTTTAAATCTTTAACAGAGAAATGCAAACAAAACTACTATAGTTAGTATATATCATAGTGTAGACTGGATATCACTAGAAAACAATATTTAGAATATGAATTTAAAATTAAATAATACAACATGACATTTTTTGTGAGTAATCGTATATAAAAGTTTTTTTCAAAGTGTAACTTAAAAAGCTACAAATTGTTGGGTTACTTTTTTATGAAATTTTATGAATAAACTTAGATTTGCATGTTTAATATTTTTTACATACCATGTTCCTTCAGGATGTAAGTGATTATGGCTCTCCACAGACTCCTTTTCTTTATTATCTGTGAATTAACATGACTTCATGGAAAAAGTAATTAAATAGTTTCCCATTGGTTTCTTCAGTTTTTGAATTTGCACTTATTTTTCTCCTAGACTGGCTGCCACCCAAGGCTAGAGAACCCAATCTATCCTACTATTTAGCTCATAGCTGGAGAGAGAAGAGATAGATTTCCCAATGGCATTTATGTGAAAATGAATGCAACTGACTCATTCAGAATTTGAACCTGGTTTTCCAATTCCACACTACCCACAAATATACATTAGCATATACTGATCAAAATTGATATAAAAGTAAACAAGCTTATTTAATATTAAGTACTGTGTCAAAGTTTGAGGAATTTGAATTATTGGGTCATATCACTTAGGTAAAATTCATTCTTCCTCTCTCTCTTAAATGCAACTTTCTAATTTTCCCACTTAGGATTTTATAAATTATTATTTTTTTCTTTTTGCTTTGTAGTTATGATTGAAAGTTGAACAACTATTGTATAACTGAGGAAAAATTTAGGAAATACTTTTATGATTTATTAAAATTATAACTATCTGTCCATATTTCTAAGATGAGGTATTATGTACATTATTTACATTATTCAGACTATTGTCCCCATCTTTGTTGCTATATTTATTACAACGTTTCGGCCATTGTACACTCCGGCCTTCTTCAGGTGGTTGGAATGTCGAACTTAATCCTTTATTTTGCTCACTGGAGTAGACTGTTCTAGTATTGGATGTCTGCTAATTTCCCTCTGAAAGTTCTCCACTGCCTTAACTGGGTATTGAACTCACACTCTTTGGGTCCTGTCACTGGATCTAACCAACGCCTTTATCCACTGTGCCTTGAGGACATCTGTGTATGAATTTCTGGGTATTATAAACCTAATGTCTTCAGCAACCATTTTTATCAGTGCTCATATTGCAATTTTTTTGCTGTTATCATGCATGTTTTTACCAGAGCTCATATCGCAACTTTTTTTTTTGTTGTTATTATCGCTTTTCTCTGGCACTCCTTATTACTGGTTCCCATATTGTATTCATTTCTATGCTTGGTCGACTCAGGAGATTTTTGTGGCCTAGCATATGTGCTGATTCCTTAAGTTTACAAATTTTCCAATGGTGTTCCTTGTCTATGATCTCAACCTGATCCCACAGAGGGCGGTGATCTCCCTTCTCTCTCAATATGTGATCAGCCATGCCTGATTTTTCCACTTCCCCTCATGTTACAGCTTTCTGGTGTTCTTGAAGCCTTACCTTGAGGGGGCAGCCTGTCTCCCCTTTATATTTCTTTCCACAGCTGCACGGGATAGCATACACACAGTCTTTAGTCATGTTCTCTTCTATGGGGGGGGTCTTACTCGGGAGAGATATCTGCGAAGTGTCGTTAAGCTTTTGAAGGTTGTCCTGATGTTATTTGAACTGCAGATTCTTTGTATTTTCTCTGATAGCCCACATAAGACAGGCAGACTGTTTTCTGAGTGTTGTTGTCCTCCACTTGTACACACCTATCCCAGTTTTTTGGGACTGCTGCCATGTACCCAGGGTAGTTCTTACATTGTAGGGTACTACTTATACTGACCCAGAGACATTAGATAAAGAATTGCTCAGTATATGTAGTACCCTACAACGAACTCTTCTTGTCTATCTACTATTGTTATATGTTCATTTTCTCTACTCTCCTACTATACGGATTACGATTCTCTTCTGATCATTATACTATTTGGTGATTACTACTTGAACCAGTATTACTAGTGTGGATATTATTGGAAAGAGTTACTACTAGTACCGGCATCTACAAAGTCTCGAATATCACAAGCATTTTTGGAAGTGATAACAAGCTTTTGCTTGACATAGCAAAAGTGAAAAGCAAAGCTGTCCAACATCACAAAAGAGGTCATGTGTTATATATTCTAGTTTAGTGAAAGAGATGGACAAATAGCACAAAAGAATAAACAGGAAAGTATTAACTGATACAAGATATCCCCTAAGCATAGAAAATAGAATGAGAATAATCTATCTCCATAGATTGAATAAAGTGCTTGGTTTGAAATTTTAAGATAGTTACTAAGAGGATAAACACTTGAAGAAGACTAGAAAGTACTGCAGCTGAACATTATGAATACAACAACCAAGATGAGTATACTAGTCCAAATATAATAATAATAATTCCTCACCTAAAAAATTCTGACATAAATTACATAACAATAATTTATAGTTTTTTTTTTATATGTATAATGATTAGACCCTTGAGAAAATTTCATAAATCACACTAATGATTTTTGCTTTATCTTTTGTAAATTTATCACATGTTACTTTTCACAGAACCAACAGATGTGGTAGCTGTATTTTTGATTTAGTTTCTATCTTAAATTTGTTTTTGATGAATTACACATATCATTTTTGATACATATACTGTTTGAAGTAGAACTTCTTTATTTTATCAAATATATATTTTCTTTTAAAAAAAAACATGGAAAATAATTGTTGTAATAAATTCTCTCTGAGCTATATTGTGGTATCACTTCAAAAATAACTTCCTATTTAGAGGGAAGAATCATGCCCTTTCCAAGAGTGTTAGTGTAAATTGAACAAAAGCTATCTTATCGGGAGTTGGGAATTAGATTCTTCATGCTGTTACCAGCACCTACTTTGAAAACATAACATTAAAAATATAAATGTGTCAATTTCAATATCTTGACCTTTCTAGTATTAAGGAACAGGATATATTCTGAAAATTTAATCGCAAGGAAAATAGGTTTTATCCACATATAAAATACTATTTACATTGCTAAAAGTAGATTATATTTAAGTTTCAACAAGTATTTGCAAACAATTATTGGTAATACCTTTTTAACCCTATCAGATCTTAAGAGATTTCAATCGTTAAATCCCTGGAGTCCTGATTGAATTAATGAAAAATCTGAATATGTGATGTTAATGCAATTAAATTGAGATATCTCAAGAACCGTTGAAAATAAAGTATTCCAGGTTGATTTTATATGAAAGTAAATTGATTTCTCTTTTAAATGATACTAATTTTAGTCTCCTTGGTATGACTCGTTATGGGATATGATTTTAGAAATCTACAACTTTGTAAAAGTTGTAGATTTTCAGAACCTAGTTGATCATGTGACAGGTATTGTGAATTGGAATACAGTGCTACTTGTCTGTATTCAGGCATACCCAGACTGCAAGCATGTGAATCTTGCAGGCACATTTGGGTGATTTTCGGCCTTAAAGATCTAAAAAGAAGTGCCATAAAATTCAAAAAAAGCTCTCCTAATACCACCATGTGCATATCTCTATCTATAAAAGGCAGGATGTGTGTGTGTGTGTGTGTGTGTGTGTGTGTAATGAATGCATGGCTGCAATTTTCAACGGATTTGCACCAAAATTTACATGCACATGCTCCAAGTTAGTAGGAAGGCCAAGACCGACTTTGCATTTCCCAACTCCCATTAATAGTGGAAATAATCGATTTTTTCATGCTTCTATGGCAGTTTTCATGTAGTTTGCGGCCATTTTGTATTGGCCAGTGTGAGAGCCAACAGCTGACTGATACGAATTTTAACTATCATGCTAGTGTGCAAAAAAATCAATAGCTGCATTCGTCACAAGTGGGAAAAATTTAAATCTGCATGGCACTTTACTCCAATTGGCTTATTAAACACTTAAACTCAACGTTGATTCTGATTCCACAGAACTGGGTTGGGTGTGAAAAAGTATTTGTTGTTAACATTCTTTTCATTCGGTTTTTCCAGTTACTGAGTCCTTTTTTTAAAGCTGATCATTTTGTGTTCATTTTGTTTAGTTCTTTTTTCATAACAGATTGAATGTTTAGTATAGAGCTTAGAAAAAATTTGCAGTGTGAGATAGGCAAGAAGTAAGGCATGTAACAACATCAGCATGGCAAAGGGCACTCCTTTAAAGGCAAGGAAGGGCAAAAATATTTTAAATCAAGTGATAGCGATTTCTGTATGAGAAATCAAGCACAGGCAATGCCGGGTCA